GCCTTCCCCTCACACCCCCAAGTTCCCGCTGCCCCACCAACACCTCCCAACCCCCCGCCTTTGGCCGCGGCGGAGAGCGGCTCCCCCGACCCCAAGGCGAGGGGCGGTAGGGAAACCCGGGCCGCCGTGAGGAGGAGGGCAGCGGGCCAGGGCCGGCAGCCGCGGACCCCCGCTGCCGCCCGCTCTCCGCCTCACGGCCGGCGCGGCGCGGCCTGGCTGCAGGCGGACCCCCCGATCAACTTCCCCCCGCGCAACGAAGGGACGCGGGGGCAGCCGGCACGGAGCTCCCGCCTAACCCCCCCGCTCCCCAGGGGCTGCAACAGCTCTGCCTCGGGGCGGGCGGGCTCCGGCGTGCCCCTCGGGCGGAGGGCGTAGAGGCGCGGGGGCGGGCCGGCAGCTCGTCCCGGCCCCGGCCGGGGGCCATGGAGTACCGCGGGCCCCGTGCCCGGCCGGGCAGCTCCGACCACGGGCCGGGCCGCGGCCGCTCTGCGCTCCGGCGGCACGGGGCTCCCCGGGCGGGTGGGGAGGAGGGGAGGGCCGGCGGTGGGGGATTCCTGGCCCCCCAAAGGAGGTGGGGGAGGCGGGGGAGGGGAGGCGAGGGGGAGGGGAGGCTGGGCTCCTGGAGAACGAGACGGGCACTCGCGCAAAATCCTGCGGCTTCAGAGCAGCCCTGGCGGGCAGGGTAAGTGCTCTGGGGAGCGCCCCTGCCCCGAGGGGTGGGAGCGGGGAGGGATCCCGGCGGCCGCCCCGGGCGGGGTCTGCCCGCGGCTGGGGCGGGGGCACCGCGAAGGGCCCCACTCCCCGCTGCGGGGTCGGTTGGAGGCGGCGGGGTTCGAGCCTCGGCGCTGCCTTCCCCGGCTGGGGACCGCGGAGAAGGGGGGATGGGTGTGCGTGCGCGGCCGTGCCAGGATCTGGATCCCCCCGCCTGCCCACCCCCAAGCGCGTCAGGGCTTCGCCTCTCCCAGCCGAGCCTCCCCGCGGCTTCTCCGCGCTCCTTAAAAAATAGATACGTATGCCCCGAAGCCGGAGAGAGTGAGGCGGTCCGGCAGGGGGAAGGGCTTTCCGAGGAGCAGGGGCTGCCGAGAGGCGGAGGGAAGCGCCCCGCGGCTCCCCGCGCCCTGCCTCCATGCCGCTCTGCCGCCGCTCGCCTTCCGCCGGGCCGGAGGAAGGGCTGCGCGAAGGTAAATCCGGGCTGTCAGCCGCCGAGCGGAGCGCTGCCCGCCCGGCCTCCGCCTCTCTCCGGCCGCGGGGCTGAGGGGGGAAGCGGCCGCGCTCCCGCCGGGAAGTTACTTTGTTAGCGAGTTCCCGCGGAGGCTGCGAGCCGCGGGTCGGAGGGAGGGCGGCTCCGTCGGCCACGGGCAGGTGCGAGGGCACAGACCGCCCAGAGGGAGCCCTGGAGCAGCGGGTGCGGCAGCTCGGCCCGGGGAAGGGGCGGTGGGAGCGGGAGAACTTTGCGGGGTGGTAGGAAAGGATCTGGTGACCTCCAAAGTTTTGTTCCGGGAGGAGAGCGTTCAGTAAGTTGCTCAGAATTCGTGCTGATCTTCGTGTCGTGCATCTGGCTGCTGCTTGGTACCCGGCACGCTCCGAGCAGCAGAGCGAGGAAGAAAATAGAAGATTGAAGAGAGTTAGGTAAAGGGTTCGTTGATTTCGATGTATTTCACTGTTTTCTTTATGTCTGCGTTTCTGCGGTTTGCACGTTGAACCAGCAGCATGAAATACGTTTTTAAATACATATATTTGTGCGTGGCCAACATAGGAGATAAGAATGAGAAATGTGCAGAGAGCGGGCAGATTTCAGTTCTCTTTGGCAAATGATCAGTAGTTAAAGGTTTCTGCGTACACCACACATATCTTGATAATACCTTAATTGAAAGATCTGCTGATAACGTCCAGTATTGATAACCACTTCAACTTCAGTTAATGCCTAATGAATTTAGTAAGTAATTTAGGCTACAGAGCAAAGGAGCTTCAGTTATTCTGGATAACTGGGCAAGATTATTAAACTTTGTGATAAGCTCCTGGTGAAGTGAGCTCAGTTTCTCAAGAGAGTATCAGTAGGTATTTAAAATGCAGGACTGCATAGAAAATGTGTATGGCTGGGATTTGGCTTCCAAAATGAGTGCATCTTTTGAGAAGACTGTTCAGTAGTCATTACAGGGCTGTAACGTGTGCTGGACCTGCACGTGTTAAACTGTGCCGTGATGTAAATTTGCTGGCAGTGTAGGTATGTATTTTTTTATTTTACATATGATTTTTTTTTATTATTATTAAATACGATGGCTATCCTGTGTATGCTACGTAAATGAACTGATTGATTGTAATCATTAGCCACAGAATTTAAATGGTCTGTTTAAACAATTATGGCTTTGCTTTTCTCGTTTCCTTGGTTGTCTCAGGCTATTTGAGACAGAAGAATTTTAAAATTTCTTGCTTGTACACCAGTCTGCCTCTTCTCTGTGCTTTCCTTCAGTCTGATCTAAAGCATTGTAACTGCTGTGAATACCTGTACAGACTCACATGAAGAAAAGCACCTGTGTTAAAGATAAACAATTGTTCCTGTTAGACTAGAGCAAACCCTTCTTGCCCTGCATGAAAACTTGTTAAAGTGTTATTGTAGGATGCTGTAGTACCAAACAACAAACAACACCAGAGAATGCACAGATAAAGCTGGTGCTCTGATCTTTGTTTAAACAGGTCATGGTTTTTCTTTAATGCTGTGTGCTCATTACAGGAACTGTCAGCAGGAACGTAAAGTGGACCAGAGTTCTGATTTTGGAATACATTGCCTATTGTGACATTGATGTTTCTGCTTCTTGGGTTAATGATTATAGTGCCGTTTGTGATCATATTTACCTAACAGAATTCATTGTAAAGAATTAGAAAAAAAGTGCATATTATGTCCTCTTAGGAAAGGAATATGATTGGATTTGCTGCCTCAGATGCAGTCCCTCTCACCTGAAGACTTACACAGGAATGGGCTTTTCTCTACTGTAGTAGAGCATGCAGTGTTATATGGAATGGTTTCTGGTTTTTATGTCAGCTAGAGTTTTGCCACTGAATTATGAGGAACCTCAAATTCCTTAGAACCAGCTGACCACTTAATTGATGCAGATACTATCTGTGAGAAGAAACTATCAGTGAATAAAAACGTGTATTTAAATTTGAGGATTTCACTATTTTTGTACATGAAATCAGTTTTCATCTCAAGTGATTAATACACATAGTGGTAATTCCCTGCAGTTCATCTGATTCCTGTTAAACTGTATTTCAAAGAATTGCAAGCAGCCAGATTCAGGGAGGATATGTAAAATAATCTGAGAGAAGAGTCTTTCCGCATGGTACTGTTACATTAAGATGTATTAGGCTGTTACAATGTACAGTTTGAGGTCTCCTGAGAAGACCAAGTATAGTGGTGGAAACTGTCATTTGCATATACAGCAGGTTGGGTTTTGTGAACGTTGTCCATGGGTGAGTTGGGTCTGTGCTGCAGTGTATAAAAGTGATATGGTCTCTAATCGTTTCTAACATAAATACACGTTCCTGTTTCAATCCTGAATCTTCCAGGTTTGTTTTGAAATATAAACAAGGCTATTATTGTAAGGGAGTCCTTTAAGGACACTGGACTGTTATTGTGTGACTTCCTCTTAGAAGGTCATCCTTAGAGGCTAATGTTATTATAACTAAAATACATGCAAATGCAATGCTTGGGTAAGGTTACAGAATGACAGTCCAGTGTAAGATACATTGCAAAAAGGAGCAGAGCTCTTAGTGTAATGACTATTCACCAGCTTCTGCGGTGACCATCTCCGGAGGGTGAAGCAGTTCATCCTCTTGTGACTGCTCACTGCTTGACCTCATTGTTGAAACTGTCAACAAGTGTGACAGTTTTGCTGTGATTTGATGTGGCAGTGGGAATTATATTAGGATAAACAAATAACCATCATGCTGTATGTGTAGTAACTTGCAGTTGTAGCTGATTTGGTCTTCGTTATGCTAACCTAAATACAGAATGCTTCACTATTTAAAATACCAGTATTTACCATGGGAGTAAAATTGGGTTCATAATGTCATTTAATTGGTCATCTTATTTAGATTTTCTTTTTTAAGAGTTGTAATACATACTGTACATTTCAGTTGCAAGTATTTGCCACCTACTGATTATGCCTTTTTAGTTTATACATTTCTGCTAATAAGATTACTGTATTAAACCTATATGACTTTTTTGCAAGCTGTTTTGATGCAGCATGCTCTCCTGACTTTTCAAGTTTGGTTATGTACCATGCATGTATTCCAGCTTCTCTTGCAGCAGGTGAGGGTCTTGCCATTCAGCCAAAGACTGGAGCCAGCAGAGCAGCTGTAGAAGCAGCGTACGAAGGAAACCAATGGTTACTGATATATATGACTGTTTTTTCTTTGCCTTATCTTAATTGGTCGCTTTGCTCAAGATCCCTCTTTGCCAGCTCTCAGTCGCTTTACTTTGTGTTCTCTCTGGCTCAAACATCCTACATAGCACTTAATTTTCTTTTTTCCTCTTCTCACCGGCTCTATCATACCTTTTTTTCTTTTTCTTTTTCTTTTTCTTTTTCTTTTTCTTTTTCTTTTTCTTTTTCTTTTTCTTTTTCTTTTTCTTTTTCTTTTTCTTTTTCTTTTTCTTTTTCTTTTTCTTTTTCTTTTTCTTTTTCTTTTTCTTTTTCTTTTTCTTTTTCTTTTTCTCTATTTGTGATACTAATACTGCTTATTTTTTCATTGTCTTCATAAATAAATGGAAGGAATGTAATGTTCTGTTGTTGCGTTGATCATTTTCTTCTACATTGCTGTATCATTTTTTTCCCACATCCTTTGTTGAGTTTTGGTAGACTGTAGTCTCTTTGGGGCAGAAGCTTTTTGCTGCTGTTTGATTGTACTGTACTAACGTAGTTTCTTCTTGGATTTCAATTGGTTTGTGGACACTCGTGTAGCAGTAACTAATAATACTGGAATTATGTCTTGTCTTGGCTTATCTTCACAGTATCAGTCTTCTGAGATATATCTCAGTTTTCCCCTCAGCACATGTACTGAATCCCTAGTGTGAGTTGGTTTTGGTAAAAGTTCAAGATACCTTGCCTGCTGGAGCGGGAGGAGGATGGATTAAGACCCAGCTACTGCCAGTAGTTAACAAAATAGTAAAACCTGAATACTTAGTAGAAGATCTGACAACAGCAAAATACATTCGGGCTTTACCAGATTGATCAAGTAAAGGGTAGAAAGAAAAAGAAAATCCAGGAATGTCTAGTAGTTTAATTTCACTGCTTTGATGTTTTCCTCCTAAATATTTTTTTTCATTTTGGTCTCCCTTTACTTTTCACCACTGGCTTTGTTTTAGCATCTTTTGGGTCAAATGAGGATTTGTAGTCCGTCCAAATAAAATTGTCAAAAGAGTTTTTCGAACAGCCAGCAAATGAGGTGATGCAGTGTGTGTATGGCTCAGAGCCACAGTTCAGCAGCAGCTGGTCCAGCACTTTGCAGTGCAAAAGCTACCACCTGAGTTACCTCAATTGGAGTGAAGTGCTGTGGATGTGCTGTCTCGCTGTAGGTTTTCTCCTGATTTTTGTTTCTCTCACGAATAGCCTCTTCAGTTTTAGGGAGAGCAGTGATTTGCAGCATCCTGTTGTGGAAGAAGGCACTGTAGGACTGGGTCTTCCTGATCTCCAACACTCTGCCTCAGAGCTGTGTACCTGGGGCTTCTGTGTTATCTATCTTCTTTCCTTAAAGGAAGAGATTTAGTTATCTTTGTCTCAGTTTCCCATGGAGCTTGGAGGGGGGCTCTATGTGGGTGTGACCTCATGTGTACAAGGAGTGAATGGTCCAACTTCTGTGTTATTTTTTTTCTATCAGTCCTGGGGAGGGTACTTGGAAAAACAAACAGGGCAAACCCACTGACTCTCTTCCTAGATGGTCAGACAATCATCAGATAATAATCAGATGTCATGAAGGATTTCAACTGAATAAATAAAGCTGAAGGATTGAAAGGTATAAACAATTAAAATAATAGGACAATGTACTTAATTTTCAAAGTTTTGTGTCCAAATATATATATAAAGCTGTTAAAAAGATTTCTTGATTCCTTTTAATAAGATTATCCTTAAGGTAGTATCACTGAAGGTGTATGTACACGTGAGCTGTTGTATATTCTGATTTACACATGTTTGCACGCTTGTACTTTGGCATTTCATTCATCTTCAGCTACAGGTATTAGACTCTTATTTTCCCATTCTTGCATATTGACATAGAGATCAGCAAACTTTCAAGACTGTTTAGTGTTAGTTTTTTTCCTGAAATCAGAGGGAAATGTCAGCAACAGAAATTCATCCAAATCTGAGCAATGCTGCTGGACAAAAAGGGAAGACTCTGTGAGCTGTCCTGCTGGCATCAACATGCCTTTGTGTGAAGCAGCAACTCTATCTCTGGCTGCCCTCAGAATGTGGGAATTGCTGCCTGTTTTGCTGTCTGCTGCTTCGGTCCTCAGCCACCCTACTACCAGCACTGTGCACTGCTGGCCTATGGGCTAACCCTGCTGGTGGAGGACGCTATTTTTGAGTGCTTGCTTTAGAGTGACTTGAACTGACTGCTAGGCATTTAGTATTAGGCTTTGTCATATTCTGATAAAATACTGGCATCGGAGCAAGCAGGCTAGATCATTTGGATTTATTCTGCCCTCAGGTGTGAATGACCCAATCAGCTAAATTCTGTGCATTTATATGCTATTTCCATGGAAATTAGTTTGGATAAATTCTGTGGCATAGGTAACTTGAATTTGACCTGGTGATGCTTGTCCAGATAAAGGCTAAGAAATTAATGTTAGGCAGTTCTCACAAAAGGGTAAAGAACAAAGATCGTCAGTTGCAGATTTAAACCAAACTCTGTCTTCTTAAATATATGATATTTCAGTACTTATATGTGCATTTTCTAAGCAAATATTTTAAGAGATTCGAGAGCTTCGTCAGATGACATGCCCAAATTGCAGACTGAAATGTGGAATCACTGCACCGCAATCTTAGTTTACTCCTATTGAAATGTCTATTTTTGGTAATGTTTCCAGATAACCTGTATTTTAGCTTTTTTTTTTAATTTTTATTTTTTTTTTTAATTAAGATGAGTACTGTCGTTTTGGGACTTGTAAGTTTTCTTGTATGAGCTTGGGATCTTCAGTAGCATAGCAGATTTTGAAATACTGCCAGGGATGAGAGCTAATTTTTTAGAGTGAAGAATGAGTTTTGTGGCTTTTAGATATATTTATTTAAAATTTCCTTCCTTACTGGTAATTACTTAAATAGATAAGCTATATTGGCAGATACTTTGGGATAAATAGAGCAACATCGAGCAAAGCAGTATATCTTTCAGGGAAAAGATTTTTCCTTAAGAGAAATGAATTCATGTAAATATTTTATTCAAATATGATGTTTTATATGTTCAGGCAAGATCGTATGTAGGGTTACTCTAAAACATTTAGCCTTGGCAAATGTTTAGCCTGTTTGTTGATCTTAGAGTGTTGCAGTGTTTAAAATGCATTTGGTGTATTGTAAAGTCAACGTTTAAGAAAAAGACAAACGCATATTATTAGTGATATTTTTAAAATTTAATTGAATAAATTAACTGTTATTTGTATAGATGAGAACTTGGTTCAGAAAATGATACTCCCGATAATCCCAAATAAAATAAAATTTTCATAAATGGAACACTCAGTCATTGTGATTTTGTTAACCTTGGTAAGTAAATTAGCACATGTAATTTCAAATCATACAATCATCATTCAAAATAAGACAAGCTAAGAAGGTTTTAAAGTGATAATTGTTTTAAATCAACACAAATTTCATAGGCAAATGTCTAATTTTGGTGTTTTCTGAATCCATCCATTTCTTTTTGTGGATGCCAGGTCAGAACTTGGACACAGAGTAGGTACAGTATTCCTTCTGAGGAAACTCCAAAGAAGTGAACGTAAGGGCGTATTTCCAAAAGACAAATTATCTAATTTCCTACTTGCTTTCTCTATAAAATATTTGCATGACAGTTAAAGCTAACAAGTACTAGCAAATAGTGTTTTTTATTTATGAAGTAATGAGAGAAATGTGTATAATATTTGTGCTTGAGAGCAATGGAAGAAAACTAATTTGGAGTAAAAGTTCATTTCAGTGACGAATGTTATCATGCTGTGTTTGACAGGTCATTGTAATCAGCAAAGAAGAGGAACAATGTATTTTTGCATGGTGAGGGATAACTTGGAGGATTTGTTCTTATTTTTTCCTAATGCATGTTAAAGCAATTATAATTACAGAGAAATAAAAAGTCTCATACAAGTAAACGGATCTTTTCACATTACGAAACAGGTTGCTCTGTGACTTGCAGATCTGCAGTTAAGAAATAGATGGTATAAATGAAGAGACACCAAAGCATTCCTTGATAGATGAAATACAAGATTTGATAGATTGTGTGTTTCTTCTCATTGAAGTTGGTAGGATTTTGAGGCATACAGGTAATTGAGAATTATGTCTGCTTTTTCTGGTTATTTATCTGGGAGTAACTCTGACATCTGGTGAAAAGATACAGTCACAGAAATGAGTATTATTTGATAACTGTTAGCAAATTTAGGTTCGCTAGTGCAGAAGACCATCTCAGATGTGTTCTTTAAGATGGTCCCCTTAATAAATTACGGAGATGATTTAGCTTCTTCACACATCTTCTGAAGAGAGCTGAAACTGGAAGGCAGTGGAAGGCTTAGGGTGTCTATCCATTGAAGACAGAACATAAGAAAAAGTTTCTAAAAATGATGACCAGAGCGTAGCAGAGCGTATGTGCTCTAGTTAACAGGTGAGCCATAGTAGGGAGGCATTTTAAAAGTTTTATTCAGATTCTTGACCGTTAGACAACAAGCCCAAACATCAATCAGTATCCTTACATGTTGTGCCCTGAGAAGCAGACAAAGCAATGTATTTTGCCGCCTCCGGGCCCTCACAGAATTAACTGGTGTGCTCGTTCCACTTTTACTCTGGTGATAAACCTGCTCCACAGAACTCATTCTAATGTACACATCTATTTGCTGCTTAACAGCAGGGATTTCTTGAAACATGTGACTTTGATGTGGTGCTGCTCTTTGGTCTCTACTGAGCAGATCTGAGGCACAAAGGCAGCCCGGGGCCTCGTGCCAGGCCTGCTGCTTGTGCCAGGCCCCTGCGTGTGCCGTGGATGGAGGTCTGGAGGCTTGAGGGCTGTCGCCTTGGCACGTTGCACCAGAGCTAAACTGACGTTTAGGAAAACTAACAATTCTCAGATGCTGTCCTGCTTCTGTACCTTAGCAGGGCTAGCTTTCCAAGCAGGATTTCTAGCTCCCTGTATTCATAACATAGAACTCTGGGAATTTGGTAAGGGTTAAGGCACCGTAAGTGACATCACACGTTATAAAATGACAATTCGGATATCCATGAGGAATCTGTTGGTTTTTAAAATATTGTTTCATACTCATTGTTACAAGTTACGTATATGTAAAGCAGTTGCCTTGGGGAAAGGAGGCTTGTAGGTGCATATTGCACTTTAGAACATTGCACTTTCACTTGTTGACTTTTTAAATGCAATTGGTACAAAAAATTCTGCTCATTTAGAGGGCCTAACAATCCCATCAGTAGAAGTGACATGACTGACCGTAGAACCTACGAGTGTCTCTATGATGATGCTGCCTTCACTTCAAAGTCCACAATTGTGTTAAGAGCATTCACATTCCTCATTTGTCAAGTGAATTTGCTTGGTCTCTTAAGGGAAGACTCGGCGGTTTTTGTTTGCCAGGACTTGCATTTCATTTCAGAAAATGAAGAGAAGGAAGAAGAGAATGTATCACTTTGGAAAAGCTTTTATCTGCAGAGTGATTTGCTTGGCTCATCCTTTCCCACAGAATAATGTCTTTTTAGGATTGTTTCAGCATTCATTTTCTGATGATAGAACTGGAAATAGCAGCCCAGTTCCATCGATTAGTATGGACTATGTGAAATGGATATTTTCAACAGGAAAAAGAATAGTTTTCACCCTACTTCTCATAGTAATCACTTCACTGGATCCATTATGTTCACTTATTACTGGACAGTCTATAATAATCTGTTTGTGTTGGGGGGAGGAGGGGTTTAAACCAAGAAATAAACATCAGTAATTTGTTATCACAAAGCCACTGGGGGTTTTAAGAATGTTACTATGACAATTGGTACCACTGCTGTTGAATACTCTGTGGCACTTTCCCTCCCCCCATTTTTTAAAAATAAAGAGCCTGCTTCTCTTTGTGTAGAGGATGACCTGACAGCCTGTGAAGAACAGTTTACCCTCAGTATAGGGGGCAGCCTGAACTCTTGAGTAAAGCTCTAGGAGGGGTTTCTGCTTATCAGTTTCCAAAATTACCAGTATTCAGTTTCTATTGGAAAGTGTTCCCGTGACAGGGAGTTGGACTAGATGGTCTTTAAGGTACTTCTCGCCTCAGACCATTCTACAATTCTGTGATTTGCACAAGAAGCACGTGTGTGACTATGTGGTCTATCACAAGCTCTCATGTGCTTCGTTAAGGTATTTTACTGCTGTTGTCTCACTGGCTCTCCCTGAAAAAATATAGCTTTGATGTTTTATAGCTGCATGAAGGTGCCTTTTTTTTTACTACTGCATTTTATTTCTTCATTGCGTCCCCAAATCCCAGCTCGTCATACTCTGAACAAAATGTGTTTTCTTTAGCTGCCTCTGCCACTGACCTAGTACAAGCTTCTCTTCTTACTTCATGGTATCTCACTGTTGCTGATGCAAAATCTGGCAGCTTCCCTTTTCAACTTTGTTGCTGTGATGTGCTCCAGCCATGTTAAGCCTTTTGATCACCTTATTTTTTGTAACCTGGCAAAGTTCTTCGCTCAACAGGTAACTCCATCAGAGTTTTATTTCTTAATTTGTAGCTTCTTTGTTTTTATCATCAATGTCATCATCACCATCAGTATTTTATCTTGATTTCTAATTATTGTTTCAGTGACATCTGCTTGAGCTGTGTTGTTCTTAAGTCTGGATTCTTATATTCTTTTTCTGGAATAATTGTCAAGAAGTCTTGGTATTGTTTGTAGGCTTGAGACAAAGAGTAGATGGTAGCAATAGAGATGATGGAATAAGATCTGATGAGAGACACTGGACAAGAGAATGAGCTGGAGGATGAACATAGAATGAAACAGAATCCAGGAGTGAAGAAGTGAGATTAAAATAAAATATTACCCTGGAGTGGAAAGGGAAGGGAAGGAAAAGGGATGGATAGAAAGGCTGGAGAATTGATGTAAAAACAAATAAGCTGGCTATACTAGAAATTTCCAGGCTGAAAAAGTAAGAACATCTTAATGTGTTTGTTGTTGTTGTTGTTGTTTGTTTGTTTTTTGAGAATTTAATTCTGCAAATGACTTAAATATATGTCTGAATTGAAGCACCTGCCTGGTCCAGTAATTCCTCAGAATAGATGGTGACCCATATAGTTTATAGCCTTATGCAAAGCCTGCTGAAGGCGGTCTAGCAGTGTCCATTGTATACAGCGGGCTTTGGATCAGGCTTCTGAACCTCTGAGCACGCATTTAAGGAAGCACCTGAAAGATAATGCATGGAGAAATTCCTGACATCAGTAAGGAAATGGCGTAGCTGGTTTAATAGCTTTTTCTCAGTCTGTGATTCTAACAGCCAGGTTTGTGATATTTATTTTAGTATTCATGTTCTTGCAGTCCTTTTTACATTTCCCTGTTTTTCTCTGGCAGACATCCCGCAGCTCCATAAGTCTGGGGGAAGAGGATGGTTAGCACGTTGTTGCTGTGGGGATTTGAGTCTTAGTGCTTTGTGTTGGTAATGCTGGGCATATAAATTTTAAAACTTGCATACTAGAGATGCAGATAATTATTTTCCCGCTACATTTCATACTCTGGTCTAGGCAAGAAAGAAATTTCAAAATATTAAAAGAAGAGAAAGTTATGATTGTGGGGACCATTGGAAATGGAAACAGCAAGAGGGATGTAATGGATGTAAGTCTAGTTATCAGTCAAGCTAGAAAAAGGCAGCTTGTTCTGTCGAACACCAAGAATGTTTGTAGTCAGCCAACCACTTATGCAGGAAAGCAGCCCTAGACTGAAAGGTAAGGTTCAAAGACATCTGTGTATGTTTCTGAAATGAGCTTGAATGAAGCTTGCTATTGAATTATGCTTACTGATTATGCGTGTTACAGTATTTGATTTTTGTTTAGCATAAGCTATTCATGTGATTGCTAGTTATCTTATTTTTATTGCAGTATCTGTCTCTTTTTTTTCTCCCCACGCCCCTTGTCTTGGATGCTTTTTATGTGTCCAGAGTTGACACTGGGTGACTGTCATTTGGCAGAAGACTTAGCAATGCTGTGGTCTCTCTCTTTTTTTTTTCTTTTCCCCTTAAGTGAGACATGCTGCCTTCCAATTTCCTACATGTTCGTGTGGTGAACTTCTTGCTGAATGTCTGTGGCTAGCATCCTCACAGGCTTGCCTAATGGTGTGATTCACATGCTCTCCCATGTGCAAGGATTGATTCCCTGCTTAAAGGAACTCTTCAGCACTAAGTGGTGTATTGGTGGTGCACTTGCCGTGCTTAGTTTTTGTTTGCAAACAAAGTGGAAAAAAACATTATTTTGAATTAGTTTGTGTTGATAAGCACTGATTTCCCTTCACTTGGAAAGAGAAAGCAGAGCTTAAGAGTTGACATTGGGGTGCCAGAATCCATCTGCTTCTCCTTTCCTTTGATGTATCACTTGAGAGCAATCGTAGAAGACAGGACTAAACAGAAGGGTAACAAAAACATGTCTCAGCTGCTTTGGGCACTGAGAGTTTCCTAAGGCCAATGGGAGATTCTAGGTCCCATCGGGCAGTGCCTTAATGCCTTTACAGCTTCAGTTCAGCTATGTCTAAGGTGGGCGTGAGCCTTGAATTATAAAACACAGGGTGTTTTTTAAGGTAATCTGAAATCCTCACATGGAGCTGTGGGCTCATATATTATTAATCATACTGGAGAATATTTCTAGAAGTCTCCAGTCCTAATGTTTTCTCTCAAACACAAGTAGGTTCACTAGGAGCAGCTTACCCCCTATAAAATGCCTGACCGTGCCCATTCAAACTTCTTTACAAATGCTTCATTTGTTACAGGAAGCTCCTCAGGGAGGATTCTTCACATCTGCCATCATAATTTCTTATTTCCTAAGCGCTGCAATTTGTACTTGATTATTCTTACAAGAATCGTGCCTCCCTTCCCTCCCCCTGCTCTGGCACATTCCATTGTGCTGCTGCTTGTTCGTCTAGCCTGCACAGAGCATCTGAGAGTGTTTAAATCCAAATTTTTCTTTGCTGTTATTCTATCATTTCTTTACCCCACTCACTTCTGGGGGGGGGAAGGTGGAGGAGGGGCAGCTGCTTTTTTATTCTCTGACAGTTTTCCTGCGGGTTGTTAGCGGCAGCAAGTTGTCATCATTTTGTAGCCATTCAGCAAGTAACAAAAACGAGCTGAATCTCTCATTCCAGTTTTCTAAGGACAAAGTTTCCCAAAACAAAAATACACCACCACTTCTTGGAGCACTTAACATCTCCAATAGATAGAAGGACTGAAGCCCGGGTTTTTGAAGATACTTCGGTGAAGGTACTTCGGTACTTTGGATACTTCCCACTAGAACTGAATTAGACCTAAGTACCTATAAATAGCTTTAAAACTTTGAGTGACTATGAAGGCCTTCCTCATCCATCACGTGGCAATGGTCCCATCAGAATGGAAGTAATTCATATCAGCAAGGTCACATAAAAAACCAGTAGTTCTGCTTTTCAGAAACTGCTCATACCAGACGGATGGCTGCATTCTACCATAGCTTTTCTTGAAATACAGCTTCTGAAGCAGATGACTTATATTTGCTAGAGGAAAAAAGCCCTTGCTTGCATGAAAGTAAATATTTAAGTCAGACAACTTTTAAAAAAGACACAACATTATGCGGCAAAAATACCCACCTGTATTCCTTATAATCCATTTTTTATTAAAACTGAGAAATAAAAGTAAAATTCACAATTTAATTGCTTTCTGCTGTTTCTAGGGGATACTCTTTACATTCCATTTGGTTTCACTTTGCAGTTCCTCTACCCCATTTTCAGTGCTGTTGTTATAGACATATGTAACCTTCAGAGAACATTTATTCCCAAACATAAAACCTCTGTGGATTTTACTTTTTGATATTTAATAACATTTACCTGTGTGTTAGCCTTCAAATCACTTTTTTTTTTTTTTTTTTTTTTTTCCCCATTGAATCCACATTCAATGGGGCTAGTGCTAAGAAGAGAATGTGTTTGAAATGGGGAGGTTGTCGTATATATATCAGAAGGTCCTCCAGGGTCTGCAGAGCCAGGGTCATGTGTGTGGAAGGTTGAGTTTGTTTTATTCCTTGGGATTTGAAGAACAACCATTTGTGTTGCATCCCATTATTAAATGGCATAGACTTTCTTAAGAATTGGTAGATCTCATTCTTTTTAATTAGATCTCATTGTAGTCACTCACGGATGTGTATTCAGTTTTAGGTTTGGGGTTTTCTTGGAGGAAGATGGGATACAAGCATTCAACAGTTCAATCAGGAAAAAAAAAAAAGTAGATGTGTTGATGAGACATTAATATTTGACGCACCATTCTGTTTTAGATCTGTATTAAATGTCTGAAATATTTGAGCAAGTTGTCTCCTGTGTTCTGTTGCAAGCTTACTTCCCCCACCCACTTTCCACCCTCAACTGAAGTATGTTCATCAGATTGCTGAATTGGAAGGGTTTGTAATGAATTCTTTGAGCTCTGCCTCTTCCTCCTTACTCCCTCCTTGATTTTTCATCTCATAATAAAGCAAATCTTAAAACAGATTAACTGTCAAGCAGTTATGCTCCATCTCTTCCATCTACTTTTAGGTTTTCCAAAGAGAGGTGTGCTGATTAGATAAGATGTCATGGTCTTCTCCCGTCGATGTAGGAAGATAGCAGATATGATCGCCTGAGAAAGCAGAGCTACCCAGTGCAAGCATGGCTTTCGCCCAGTCACACATTATGGCAGCTAGAAGGCATCAGCACAGTAGACTCATAATTGAAGTGGATGAGTACAGCTCCAACCCCACACAGGCTTTCACGTTCTACAACATTAACCAGGGACGTTTTCAGCCCCCACATGTGCAAATGTAAGTATTATAGTTTTGTTATTGCTTTAGCACAGCCTTCTGAATTGTTATTGCCTTGTCAATGTGGTATTTGATGGACCAGTCAAAAAGAATGCAAAGAAAACTGTTTTGCTGCCTTTCTAATAATTACTGTAATGATACAAAGTCAGTCTGTTTGGGAAGTATAAGTACTTTGATAGAATGATCACTCCACCAGCATAACTTTAATACATAATAATATTAAAAAAATAAATAAACATCAAGCCATGGTAATAAAACAAGAAATTCTACAAGGCTGATACTTTCTGCAATCTTAATAGTTGTTTGTTTGCATTGTGCGCTTGCCTATTGATGGAAATAGCTGTTGAAATACCAAGCTCGTATCTGTACAACAGATATTGTTTGGTTAGTTATATTGCAGGCACATAGAAGGAAAAAATGACATCAATAAGTAAAATGGTGTGGGCATCCATCCGACAACTTACTTTCATACCAATGTGCTGAAGATGCCAAGTGCTTAAAGAGTAATTAAAATAATGTGTTTGTTTCTGACTTCTTATATAATGACAGCATCAGTAAAATTAACTGCTCTAAATGATTTACTTGTAATGTAAAGTGGAGAATTATAATTACGAAATGAAACCTGCCATAAAATTTAAAGCCAGAAGGAAGAGCAAAACAGTAAAGCTATTACAAATAAATTAAGTATAAAATTCTACTGTAAAATATTTTTATAGGGAATAAAAATGTCTGCACCATTTTATTGTGTTTATTAAAGGAAAAAGCAGCCTTATCTGTAGATGAGAAGACTGGTGTTCACTTTTTTTTTTTTTTAAGGAAAGTTTTTTTCTTTTTTTGTTTTTAAGTCTGAATAAATTATCCCCTCATTCACATTTTTGGTATTTAATATGAATTTATAATTTCCAGACATAGACCACGATTTCTGCAGTTGAAAATGTCAGCAGTTATGAGTGGTTGAATGCTGTGTGTCTGTTTAGGGAATGCTTATGTATATTTTTTGGCATAAATAGATACTGTGTAAAAAAAAAAATAATCTGGAGACTGACATAGAGCAGGGTGATGAGCAAACACTTGCTTTTTGGGGGCAGTGTGTAAGCTTGTAATCTGTGTTGGGGTTTTTAGGTACTATTGAAATACAAACAGTAGAATGAGTTGAGTGTCAGCAGTGGGAAACATCTTTTGTTTATAGAGTTGGCAAATGTTAGTAAAAGCACAAACAAACAAGTGTGGGTTCAGGAGTACTTTTATAAATGAAAATACTAAATGCAGGTTGCTTTATTTGTTGAAGCTTAGCCATTCTTCATGTACATTCAGGCAGTTCCTGGGCACTTGTGAACTTGTTCTCCAGATTTAAAAGCTGTGTTTTGTTGTGCTGAAAATGGGTTATTTATTAGAATCACAGAATCACCAAGATTGGAAAAGACCTCCAAGATCATCCAGTCCAACTGTCCACCTACCACCAGTATTTCTCACTAAACCACGTCCCTCAGAACCACATCTAAATAATTCTTGAACACCTCCAAGGATGGTGACTCACCACCTCCCTGGGCAGCCCATTAAAGCATCTGACCATCCTTTCAGAGAAAAATTTTTTCCTAAAATCCAACCTGAACTTCCCATGGTACAACTTGAGACCTCTCGCCCTATCATGAGTTACGCAGGAGAAGAGTCTGACCCTCATGTCGCCACAATCTCCTTTCATGTTGTTACAGGAAGCAAAAAGGTCTCCCCTGAACCTCCTCTTCTCCAGTCTAAACAAGTATCCACTTGGTACTCAACAATTCACAGCTTGAATTTCTAACAAGTGACGAACAAATCATAGTACCAGAGAGCTGAGAAAATCAACTGCATGATACAAGTTCAGCACCTAAGCAAATAGTTGAAAATAAGCTATTCTTAGAAAATTGTTCCTTAGAAGAATTTAGCACTCTCTTACAAATGATTAACGCCCTTGAAGAAGCCTGTGCACATAGGTTAAATAAATTAAAATGTATACCACAATCTCACCTGCTCTTTTCTTGGTACAGAAATCGTAAAGAATGTTTTTGGCTACCAGCAGCATTGCTTTTGCTTCCAATTAGTGAATAGAACAGTGACAAAGAAGGGGCAGGTATATGCAAAATATATATACAAAGGTCAAAATACCTAGGTTGCAGCCAATTGTAAACACTCTCCAGATAGATCCATTAACATTTGAACTTGTGGTAAAATACTCGTACTGCAGTTATTTCTGGTACTCATCTACTGAATCCAGTTCTGGAGCTCTTCTTTGGTCCTTGGTGCAGTTCTACTTAACTTTTTGGCATACTGACAGCACTTTCCTAACCCCATCTTAGTCCGTCATTCCCATGTTTGTGAGGTGACTGGATTGCCACTGACAAGAGGGGTGGCAAATTCTGACAGTGTTCCCAGGTTCATCAGTCACTCCTAAGAAGTTCCGTTATTCTGTTTTTTGGGAACCTCCTCTAAAGTCTGGTCTAAAAACTCACTCTTATTGTTCTTATCTGTTTTTTTTTTTGTTGTTGTTTTTTTTTTTCTATGAGGTTTTAACTTTGCTTTTCATTTTCTTTGCAAGTTTACACGTTGTTTTATAGAAAAATAGCATTTTGGCAAAAATAATCAGATCTTTCTTCCTCTGCTTGTGCTGCAAGCAGTGCATTGGGTGTTGGTGTGACAGCTGCTGTGGCAATGCGTTACCCAAAAATATTGGGATCCAGCCTTCAGAAATCATTTCTAATACAACTTAGATGCATTTGTGAAATTTGACACGTTTTTACCTATATGTGGCCTCAGTGTGTGCATATCACTTCAACATGAAAATGTGCATCTCATTTATTTGTGGGTTTTTTTTTAGTATTGGTATCTTTTCTCCATGAACATTATCTGACCCACTGCACGGGCTCTGAAAGTTGTGTACCTCAGCAACCAGGAAAATGCTGTCACACCTCCCCCCTCCCTATCCAAACTATAAGAAACAGCAAATGTATTGCACACTTGGTTTGCTGTGATAAGTCCCTTGTTTTTCCATTCGGTTTTAATGCAGGGAAATACACACTACCCCTGAGGAGGAACTCTGTGAACTAAATGCAGTACCCTTCATGCAGATTGCACCTTAAGACAGCCCTCACTCAGTAGTCCAAAACCCACCATTCTCCATCTTTTGGTACCTCCCCTCACAGTCCATAGAGCTCCCTCTGTGGCAGCTCTCATCCCTGGGAAAACAGAGGCATTTTTAATACCTAGTTGCAATCATCTAACTGCACTGTTTGAGGTTGTGACCTCTCATGCTCCTTAACACCCATCTAACTCTTTTCTGTGGCCCTCACGCAGCCTACATACTCCCTCAGCCGTGCACATCATGTTTGCAGCTTCTGTGTCTCGGGGTCCAAATGTTTCACTTTTTTGGCTGAGTTTTCCAGTTTCTATTATGCGTTGCTTAGATGTACCACTGACATGCGCATAATGCTAGGGGCTCATTGGGTAGGATCTGATTGTGGCTGGCTTTTCTCCTTACTCACATTTCATTATTTTCTGCTCAGAAACAGGAAGTTTGGAGAGTTGAAAGGTACTCATAATGGTTTCTCCAGTATTCCTGTAAAAAAAAAAAAAAGTAACAAAACCACCTCACAAGTAGCTGATGCTTATTGTGCTGGATTCAAAACAAAACAAAGCCACTCCACTTCTTCCTAAAACATGTAAGAAAGATGAATACAATGTAATTTATTCAAACTGGATTTTTTAATTACAAAAAATAGAATATTTTACATATATTTGATATATATGAAGTCTTAGATTTTATCCATTTATCATGTGAAGTTGTCAAAAATACCTCAGTTTATCCATCCATAAATTTAATAGAATTCTTCTTTCACTTAGGGAAAAGATTAGAAATGATTATCTTATGTCTCTCAAGTAATAATATGTCTTTGGGAAATTTACCCAGTAAACCCAGGGGCAGTATCATTAGTAACAAAGATCTCTAACTTTTTTCTGTGTTTATTTATATAACAGTAAGATCCTGAATTGAAGCACAACCATCAAGGAATATATTATATATGGCAATAGTGAACAAAACTAATTTTGATTTTCCTTTCAGGATAACTGTTTTAAAAGTAAAATAATTCAGAATATTTCTGTATGCCTTTCTCGTTCCTGGTGACATAAATATAACTCTTGCATCTCTGACTTTTTGATTTTATTCCACCAGAATTCCCAAACTGGAATAGCAGATATGGTATAGCTGTATACGATACATTTGCTTTTGTATATTCTAACAAACTATAGCTTGAGGGTAAAAAGACTGAATGAGCTGGAAATAAGTATGCCTCCCGTAGCAGAGAGGTGTTCTCTGCTTTCCTCTTCTATTCATAAGTTGTAACTCTCACCAAACTTGGTCAGATTGTTTCTTTTTCTCAGTTCCAAATACTGAGATTGGATTCTGAACAGTGCATCCTCACCCCTCACAGCATCTGATTTCTTTTAGTATAATTAAGCCCAGAAAGTTACCACATTTATCCTGACAATAGTCAGACTTGAACATACATTTACAGCTGTTGTCGGGAGGATTCTTATCTTGCTTTGCATTAACAGACTGAAACATATCTCCAAAATGTGTTAATTAAATTTGCTGGAATTATATAACTTGCAGAAAAAAAAAAGTTATAATTAAAAAAACGCATTTAAAATGTATTTATGTATCTGAAATAAATCTTTTTCCCGTGTACCATGTAATCATATTTAAACAGTGAAACAGAATAGCACCGTTCCTTTGAATCTCTCGATGCCTTTGATTTATTTGTAAGTATTTGTTTTAGAGTTGCTGCCACAGTTCAGTCTCTCTTGCTTAATCTCTTTAAATTAATCCAACAAATACTGAGAATGTTGTGATGCGAACATCAAGAATTTTTACACCTCCCATTAGCGTTAGATTTGTTTTAATAAATCCCTTCCATCAGACAGATCTATAAGACTGTGTAATCTTTTGTGAAGGTAAAAATTAGTATTAGAATTACAAAGTAGACGCTGGAAGTTCATAAGTACTTTATAACCTTGTTGTGATGCATTTCCTGCAGGGTTGATCCGGTGCCCCATGATGCTCCCAAACCTCCAGGGTATACTCGATTTGTCTGCATTTCTGATACTCACTCGAGAACTGATCCCATCCAAATGCCATATGGAGATGTGTTAATACATGCTGGTGATTTCACTGAGCTGGGACTTCCTAGTGAAGTAAAAAAATTCAACGAGTGGCTAGGTAGGTATTGAAATCTGTGTGGATTTGAAAGTAAATTTGTTTACTGAATGTATCTGCCCCTTCTGCCTCCCAGTAAAAACCACCACGCAGTCAGGAATGATGAATATTAATTTGTCTTAAATTTGAATGGCAATGAGCAAGAATCAGATATTTATTTTTCTTTTTTTTTTTTACAAGTTTTTTTTTTTTCTTTTTTTTTTTTTTTGCATTTTTCCAACGGAGCAAATAAGATTTGTGAGACTATTCATCTGTTCTGCCTTCACACTCTCAAGTGTACATTAAGCAACTTCGTGGTGTTAGCAACAATTTCAGTCAGTAGGCCTTTAATGATTTACATAAAACCTCCTACATACATTGTTATGGCTTTGCTTCCCTGCAAAAAAAAAAAAAAGTTGTTGTGACTGAAAACATTTGTCTGTTTAACCCTGGAGGCTTATAGTTTTTTTATCTGGGGCTCAGCTGCACCACAGCAATGAATTCCAAATAAAGCAAAACGTGTGCCCGTGGTTGCTGTCTTGGATGTAGCAGACCAGATGTAGATGCCTTCTGTAGGCAACTGTTGGCATTGTAACTGAAATTCTGTTCCACTGGGCAAGAGAGTGGTGATTTACATGCGCTTCTGCAGTGTTCTGTATATTCTAAAAAAAAAATGTCAGTGAAAACTGGAAAGCATTTCACTGTATCCAGACAAAAAACCCAATCGGTATTGTTCAGGCTGCAGCGTAGATACCTTAATTTAGAATAAAAACAAATTCTTGCTTCTGATACTTCATTATCCAAAAAAAGGGTCAGAGGACTTGGGAAGTGGAAAGACAGAGTTTAATGGGTTTTGGTTTTTAGAGTGATTATCTTTCCTCTAGTTTATCTTTTGTGCACTGTCCTTTTTTTTTTCTTTCTTTTTTTTTTTTTTTCCTGCATGCTACAGTGTTCCTCACTAAGAATGCACAAAGCTGACAAACACACATAGGCTGAAAACGGATAGAAAAAAGTCAGGGCTACACAATTTCAACAAATATTTACCAGCAAAAAAATCATCAATTAAGGCCGATAAACATTTATTTCAGCTTGGAAACCACATGACATGCCCAGCATGAAGAAATTGCATTGTTCTGTGGTCACTCAGTTAGGAGCAGCCTGTGGAAGTCTCATACTCTGCTATGGTGCCCTCTGCTCTTCTCTGTCCCCAAATGGTCTGTTGTGCAACCAAAAGCAAATTTGAATCTTATTTTGTAGATCTCTATCGTATAGTGTAACAATGCACTGAAAACAGCATATGAAGATGATGCCTACCATATGGTTAACTATTCTAAATAATTCTTATTTTATTTGTCTGCTAGTGTGGAAAAAAAATGCCTTGGGACATCACTAGTGAGCAAAGACAGGGCTACACACATTGCTTGCTGCACAGTTTTTGTGTCCTTAGTTCTCCATCTGCCTCTCTGCTGGTCATAGCTGTACAGTGTTCTGAAGAAGTCCTTAAGCTAAAATCCTCTCAGTTTGGTTGGGAAATTTCCCAAGGCATTTCTGTGATGGTCCCTTCATCATTTTTGTTCCAAAAGAAGGCCTAATTATCTGACTTTGCCAAAGTCTGATTTCATGGTAGTGTATGGTTTGGGAAAAGGTGATCTTTGCATTTTGAGGTGTACTGTTGACAGAGCCTCTCTGGGACTGTCACAGAATTAACTAGATCAATCTATGCCCGTGACAGGGAGGCAGTAGGCCCTTGGGCCCCCCTCCACCTCCACAAGATGGGAAGGAAAAGGGAAAAGGATGGGGAGATGGGAGCTGGGCTCGAGGAAGGAAAAAAACAGTGGCAACGATCTATGGAGGAAAGCTTATTTTACTATGATATCAGAATGCAAGATAACACAATTTAATACCATCAAATTGAAATTGAGTCAAACAAATCAAATAAAATAGGAGAGTTCCTGAGACCAAGTCGAACCTGAAAAGCTTGGTATGGTTGGGAAGCACCCACTGCAAGGCAGTAAGAGACCACCCAGCCAGGACGGGCCAGATCCCATGACTTCTGCAACATACAGGGACTGGTACCTGGAATTGGAGCATTAACACTTCAACTCCCAGTGCACTACATGATGTTATGATGTAGAATACTGAAAACGAGAAACCACAAAACCATGACAGGGAGATGCGTATTTAACAAGTAAAAAACCATACATATGTATATATATATATATATATATATATATATAGGCTTATTGACAATTTGCAGAAAAAAAAATATATTTTTTTTAATTAATTCTAAAATATCCAGTAGAATAATAGATAGCTTGGAGTTGGTATGCAGGTTTCATTTGACTAGCATTAAAGGCTTTGTTTCAGTTAAAAGGTGTAAATTTTAATAATTATGCTCAATCTGATTTCAAAATGAAAGCATTAGCTTTTATTTTGAAAGGTTATTTTGTTTTAAATGAACAACTTATGAATTAATAATGCACTGAATGTTTACAAAATCTGTAGTAAATGATAAAATGGTTAAAAGCCTCCTCTTTGAGAGGAAGATTTTTCCAGACTTTTTGCTGGTAGCCCGTGTTGTTGGGAAAGATGCTAGTCTGTGACAGTTTAGATTTTTCTACATGGTTTTGCAACTATAATGCCCACAGCCTGCCCAGCCTTATCCTTCTTCCTTGTCTGAACATTTCACTGGTGTCTTGAGAAAATAATTGATGCACTGACCGGGACTTTTGCTTACAGCCTCATTCTTAACTGTCATCACCAAATTTCCTTGTCTGTTGCTTCTTCCCATACCAGAGGACTGGCTTTCCCATTTGGTTATTTTGTTTTGTTTCAGTAATGTGTCTTCTGCAATCAGTAGATCATAACCTATTTATTAATGCCTCAAAATAAAGAGTAGAATATTTGTTTGTTATGCCTTCCCTCTGCTTCCTCCAGGCAGTAGGTACACACCCTACTTCTGCTGTTATGTGAGCATTTATTCCTCCCTTATGGCATTCAGTTCTGTCACACCCCCTTGGGTCTCTGCCACTCTGGTCTGTCAGCCTGTTTCATCTTATCAGGAGGCCCTTAAGCAAGTTCAGATTTTATCTTTCTTCTCTACATAAAATTTCTGTGCCTTTTTGATGCAAAATATATTTTACATTAACATCATTAACTTCCGTGGAGCTTATGCTTCTATCAAGCACATGCTCAAGTGTTATGCTGATAGAGGCACATTGGGCTGCTGAGTCATACCCTAAAATATGTTCTTTCTTTTTTAGGCTAACTGTATGTGGGTACACAGGAAGGCCAGATGATATATCTCTGCAGCCCATCACTGCCTTTGTCTGCCCCTCAGTCTCCTACTTTAAACTTTCAATCCTCTCACTCCTGTAGCCCTTTTCTGCATTTCATTTCAGTTCTTTTTGGTGATCAGTTGTTTACTTTCCCTGGTTTTGTTTTCTGAAGACTCCTCCATTTTTCTCAGGATTTGAGGTTTTACCAGTAATAGGTTGATGCTGAGCTCTGAGGGAGTGAAAAAAGGCTGGTGATAGCTGGGCATGCATATTTTCCCAGCTTTCTCTGATAGGCAGTCCAAGGACTTCCTGGACCACACCATTAAATACACATATAGTGTATTTAATAGACATATATAGTATGTGTGAAGAACTTTGCATATTTTGAACTTACCACTGACTAGTTTCATTTGGTATTTCCTAATACTAAATGAGGCAAGTGAACAATTCCAGTCTTCATTCTGCTCCAGAATTTATAGGCTCTTCCCATATTTACCCTTTCAATATTTTTCAGGCTGAAAGCTGTTTAGAAGTCCTTAGATGCCTTTGATCATCTTTGTCTTTCTTTGTACCTCTGCTTGTTCTTTATTATTTTAAAAGGTGGAGAGACTGGAATTGCACGTGCTCTGAACACATCACAGATTTATACCCCAGCATAACGAAATTTCCTATTTTGTTCTCCTTTTCTTTCTAATATTGTGGATTATTGTTTTTATTTTTGTTGATGACGGAACAATGAGATTTCATAAAATTGCCTACTCTATAAACTATTTCCTGAGCAGCAACATCCAGTTCAGAATCCATCACTTACGAATAGTTGGGATACTTTTTCCAGCAGTTACATTATTCTGCATGAATTTCTGTTCTGTTTCATCTTTCCTGTTATTGCCCAGTCGTGCAGTACCGTGATGTACTTTTGTAAGTCAGATTTCCATTTTGTACTCTTATTCAGGGTAGCTTAGAAAAAGAAGGGGAAAGGCTATGAATAGTCAAGTTTATAGAGTGGTGCTAATGAGGTCATTTCCCTCCCCTCTTTTTTGCTGAACTGACCTTTCTCCTATTTTTATGATTCTCTTTTCCCTTTTGCTGCTGAGTTTCTTTTCTGACTGTATTTTTCTTCCAAATTTGCAAATGCAGGTATTGTGAATCAGAAAAAAAAAGGAAGAGCAAAGCATATATTACAGTAGGTGCAGTTGGAAGGCCATGAAGGCAACGAAACTTTGTAGTGACATTTTAAGGACGGATCGCGTGACAGCTTTGGACATACACTGGTTTTCCAGTATGTCCAGGGGATTTTAGTGGCGTCACTTTAAACAGCTGAAAATTATTCAGGGGAATTGTAATAAATACAGATTAGTATGTAACCACGGCTAGATAAGGTGGATTATATTGTAAGGTGTGTCATGCTTTGTATGCACTGCAGCTATCCGTGTAGTCAGATATTTCATTATTTTGTTACTTAATCTCAACCTGCATATAAATCAAATGTGCTGTGGGACGAACACAAAGACAAGCTTTCCTGCACTCATCAGATAATGAGTCTAAAACCATCTCTATTTTGTGCGTCCCATATTGTTGGCACTGGAAATTGCTTGCTTGGTTCAGTTGCTCTTGCAATTCACTTTGCTAGAGTCTGTAATATCATTTCCAAATTTTGTATGCTCCAGGACCCGCTGTCACTTTCAGCTTGTGAGTAACTTTCCTGGAAATGTAACTGAATAGCCAATCTGCAGTACACGCTGCAAGCATA